TATGTTATTTTTTATTATCCGTGAATGTTAGCAACTGGACAAATTGAATGCAGCGGTCAAGGAAAAGCGAGCAGAATTGATCAATCGTAAAGGTGTCATTTTCCACCAGGACAATGCTAGGCCGCACACGTCTTTGTTCACTCGGCAAAAATTGATGGATATTGGTTGGAAATTGATGTTACACCCACCATATAGTCCCGATCTCGCGCCATCGAATTACCACTTATTTCGATCCCTGGACAACTCCCTTCGTGGTAAAACTTTTAACGACGATGACGCTGTAAAATCTCACTTAACTCAGTTTTCGGCCGAAAAGGATCAGACTTTCTACGAGCGTGGAATTTTCAAGTTGTCAGAGAGATGGCAAAAGGTCATCGAACAAAACTTCGTTCCAAGTAAAAAAAATTTTTTATTTCATTGAACAAATCGGCAATTACTTAGTTGCCAACCCAATAAAACGGGGAGATCTCCCCATTCGGTTGGCTAAGTGTTAAGAATGTTTTCTTTCGTCATACATGACGTAAAACAAAGATACGAAGTAATCAATTATTTGAAATCGCTATTATTTCGAATACATCGATATCATCGTTATTTTCAAATAACAGCATTGAAACTAATCTCTCGAAATTCAAACAGTTATCTCTTATCTTCGTTTCCAGTAAAATATGCCCAAATCTCGTACACGCATACCTTTGAAAGCTGGCTCATGGTTGTCCATCTCGGCCTCTCCGTTGTTGCCTTCGACGAATCGGATCTCGCCCAAAAGTAGGATCGCTGCCAACGTTTTCCAAATGGTCTCGCAGTACTCCTCCATCTCGAGGACTCGAAGATGCTCCTTGATCTCCTCGAACTTGACGACGTTCCCCCGTGGATCGTTCCGTACTTTGAACGACCGCTTGCGCTCGGTGCCCTTGTCGCTTGTGCGAAGGTATCGAGCCCTTCTTCCCGGCGATAAATTGTACAGGCCCAATTTGTTGATCGCGTCCAGACCGTCGTAAAAGTAGTAGAACATGTGGAAGTTCGACTGGTTCCTGCGGGGAACAGGACGCGAACCATCGATTAAACTTTGCTCGAAGCGATCAAAAGGGAAGCCGTAAGGTCCGCCAACCTGTCCCGCGTGGAAACGCGCCACTTCTCGAGCTGATACAGGCAGAATATGCCGCCGGACGCTTTCCCGGAGGACCCGAACGTCGTCTGCACTTGCAGGATACATCTGGTCGAGTTAGGGTTCAGAGGGGTGGCCGCGTTGCTGAACGCGTGGATCACTTTGATCGCCCGGAACACTCTGGACCCTATGTCCTGCAAGCTCTGAAATCGAAGAAAGGTCCCCGATCATCGAACGTCTCTTTCCCTTCGCGCGATTACGCCGAATGCGGACACCGGCGACGGAAATTTCAGTACTTTGCCGAGATACATCAGCTGTCGGACCAGGTGCAGCATGTTCGTCGTCTTGCCCGAATTGCTCTCGCCCGCCAGCAGAATGTGCTGCGGTTCCTCGTTGTGTAACACGTCCTGGTAAGCGCTGTCGGCCACGGAGTACACGTGCGGCGCGTTATCCGACCGCGACTTGAACTGGTACTTCGTGTGGTACTGCAACGCGAGCACGAGTGTTACTTTTTCACGAGCGACGAGCAACGATCGACGCGTTCGCTTACGTCCAATCCGTAAATGTCCTGCGACTCGTTCGGATTCAGGATCAGAAGAATGTCCCCGACGAAACTGTGGAAGTAGCCTTGCCTCAGCCTCTCGTGAAGCTCGTCCAGGATCGCGTCCTCCGTCAGCACTTCGAGCGCCGCGATGTCTTCCATGAACATGGGCTCCAGAGGATCGGTCTGATGCATCTGCGGCAACGAACCAGCTTCGATTTAGCCACGTCGAGCCGGAACCTCGAAGCGTCTTACCTTGAGGAATCCCCTTCGAACCAGCACTTCCGCTCTCCTCTCCAGCTTGCCTATCGGACAGGCGTCCGTCATCAGCACCTTGAGCTCTTGCGCCATCTAAAAAATCGACGCGTTAGTTTCTTCGTTTACGATACTGTGGCGTCGTCCGACTAACGGGTCACTACCATGTAATCGTTGTCGGTCAGCTCCGTTAGGAAAGGATGCTCGAATATTTCCACCATGAACGGCCTGTTTTCGGGATTCTTCTCGAGACACCTGAAAGAACGAAGTCAGTATCTGACGTGGGGGCTGCCGATGTCGGATGAGCGTACTCTGCTATGAAGTCGTTGAAGTTTTGCGACCAGTTCGACTGCCTGTACAGATGCGGCGGCGGGTTGCGGACGATTTGGAAGAGGGCTCTCGTAGGGTGCATGTCCTGGAAGGGCGGCTTCCCTTCGGCCAGCTCGATCGCCGTGATCCCGATCGCCCAGACGTCGGCACGATTCCCGTAGCCGCTGCTGGAGCTGTTCTCCTTGCTGCTCGCGACTTCCGGTGCCATCCAGCACGGCGATCCCACGCACGTGTACCTTTTCCCCATTTCCCCCTGGACCGCTCTTGACAGTCCGAAATCGACCAGCTTCACTTCGCCTTCCTTGGTCAGCAGGATGTTGCTCGCGCGTATATCGCGATGCATCACGTTGTTCTCGTGCAGGTAGATGATCGCCTGAGGATCGCGTCGCGCGTCGTTAGCGAACCCCGCGAACGTTAAACTAATTCGTCGTTGCAGAAGAGCGACGAATGAGAGAGAGAGAGAGAGAGGGGGGGAAGAGAGGAAGGAGGCCGACGAACGAGAGAGAAAGCACGTTCGAGCAGCCTCGGCCCGGCTTTCTTCTCCTCTAAGGTTTCCCTTAGCCGCGATTTCGCCGGCAGTAGACACGCCGGTGCCTCGTTCCTCGCCAGCATTTATTTCGCGTGTAATTTGCCGGCATTAAACGTCAACGTGGCCTGATTTACCGCACGAGCGACCGTGGACGAATCGCTACTGGCTCCATGGAACACGTACCAACGCGAACAAGAAGGAGAACGAACGTCGAGACGGACGACGAGGAGAGCCAACGAACAGAAAGAAGAAGAGGAGGAAAGGGTTGCGTGCACTTTACGAGAAAGGATGCTGGAACGGGCGAAGAAAGAAAGAGAGAGAGAGAGAGAGAGAAAGACAAAAAAAGAGAATGAGAGAGAGAGAGAGATTGGTGGGACGGGGAACGCGAAAAGTGCGTGCGCGTGCTATACTCGAAACGCGAACTCGCGCAATGATTTAGCGACAAACTGCCCGCAACGCGCGGCCTTTCCCCTGCGATTTCTACGCGAATGCATCGGAAAGATGCTAGACGATTGCGAGATCCGTTCGTTGAACGTTAATAGGATCGGCTCGCAGCGATAGCTTGACGAGTCCAAGATGGAAAGTACGGTGGATTCGAATGGATCGGGTTCGCGGAGTTCCCACGGCGAAGATAATTAGCAGAACCCATCGATTTTACGCGGTCCAGCGTTTTTGCCGGGATCGTCGCGATACGAATGGATCGAGCGAGGATCGACGATGCCAACCGGAAGGGATAGGACGCGGGACGAGGCCCGGCGACGCACGATTCGAAACGGAAACGAGCGTTCTACCCTTGACGTCTTGCCGCTGCACCGCCGCTGCGTCGCGCGGCGGCTTGCAGCGGGCAGGTTGCCGCGTTTGACGGGCAAATGACACCCGTCCGCTTCGGTATCCGTGATTTTTTCGAATCGTTTCCTCCTCGGTTTTCATTGGAAACGACGGGTACGAGGTGGCCGCGCGACAAATGGAGGCGGCGGAACGTCCCGTACAGTATTACGGTAAATTATATTCCGCGGGGACGGAGGACGGAATTATAGAACATTACCTCATCGCGTCCGAGCGAATCGTTTCCCTAGGAAAATTACAGATCTCGGGGACGGGAAACGTTTGCAATTCGCTCGCGCGGCTCGTACATGTTCCTTTCGCGTTTCTCGTCCAATTCCCCGCTGTTGGTTCTTTTACAATGCCGAGCGACGCGGCGCGAATCGCGTGCCAAAAATCGCAGAGCTTTTAACGGAATTCGGATCGTCCGTTGTGTCTTTTTTTTTACGCGAAAGCCGGAACACGGAGAAAAATGGAAAGAATGTTGGATGAACATTTACCGTGTACAGTTGGATTATTTTCTTCTTAATGTTACGCATGGTTTCCTGTAGATTTTGACACGCTGTTTTCAAATCCGGTCGCAACTTTAGGATTTTGAAAAGAGATCTTCGGATTTTCGAATGATTGCAACGAAAGAAAATCACGATTTCGTTAGTTTTTTTTTCACTCAACTCGTATTTTATCAAAATCTTGAAGCGATAGACAAAATTTTACGAGCGAATTTGAAATCAGCGTGTTAAAATCTACGAGAAATCACGCGTGGACATTATAGATCGCAATTTCGTTGGAATATTTCAAGTTGAACGTAAATTTTCCAGGTTAAAAAAATGATAACGCTACGTTCTCTCTGTTTTCTTCCCTTGTTCCGAAGCATTTCCATCGAAAGTTGTTCGATGTTGACGGGGAACGTCGTGATTTTGTCGCGGTGCGCGGCGGTTCTCTCTGAACGCGGGAGAACGGCGACGGAAGCGTTTCGCGACCCGAACACCGAGATCACGGAGAGCACGGAGTGCACGGAGAGCAGAAAGCCGGGAGATGGTCCGCGCCAAGATCGGAGAAGGGCGAACGAGCGGGCAGCCTTTCATTTGCGAGCAGGTTAATTAGCGAGCCATCTCGCCTGTCTTATTTGTAATTTATACGCGGTAGAATGCGGCCCATTGACGCGCGTCTTTCGCGATCCTTCGCGTTCCCCGATTTAGCGCGCACGTAAACGCGAATGCTCGCCGGAATGGCCGAGAATCGAGCGAGTAATCTCGTCGCGACTCGCAGGAGCCAAGAGGCGAGGCTGCGCAACGCATCGGATCGCGCGTTATTGCACCGTCCCGATCGGACTCGTTCCGATTCGTCCACGTTCCAGAAACGATTTCGCCGATTCTCCGCGTTTCCCGCTCCCGTTGTTCGCGCGATTACGAAAAATCGTGGCCGACTCGCGACGCCTATGGCAGGATCGTAATGACACCGAGCGACAAAAGCGAGTCCGAGCGGCGCGCCGCTCGGTATAATTGCTTTATAATAACGTCTACCCTCTGCCGGGAAAAGTTGCGCCAGCATCCACCGTCTCCCGTGGACGTTCTCGAAAGTTTACCTTGCACACCTCCTTCAGTATGTGGCCTATGTGCTCCTCCCTCAGCTTCTTGTCCATCCTGAGGAGTCCCTTGGCGAGGTCGAGCGCCGTGCCGCCGTCGCAAAGCTGGAAATCGCAAAGGCAACGCGATTACTCGCCGCGACAACGTTTACTGGCCGCGAGATTGCGGAAGCAATTTACATCGACGATCCGCCACGGTGTTTCATTTTACGTAATTGCTCGAGATCTCGGTTTCGATAAAGATTAAGACGCCGGGACAGAAGCGCGGCCGATCTCGCTCTCGCTCCGCTCGCCGGCACTCTAATTTCGCGGGGATCTCTCGCGCGCCAACGTCTCCATAATTTCTAATTATGCCCGCGCATTCTTATAAATTGGTTTCGCTTGAATTTCACGGCGAAGAATTCCGGACGCGACGGCGCGGCGTGGCGCGGCGCGGCGCGGCGCGGCGTTGTTGGCTCGTTCCGAAGCTTCGTACGGGCCTCTCCGGCCAGCACGCGATACATTATTTCGAGAGCGCAACGATCGCAAACGATCGCAACACGAAAACTTGGTCTACTACCGGCCGCACCGTTTGTGTACGTGCCCGTAAAATTCGTCCGTGATGCGATATGGAAGACGGTCGCCGATAAATCTTCGCCACATTGTCGTTGCGTGTCGTTCCTCTTTTTCAACCCGTCCCCGGGCCCCCTTTCTTCGAGTTCAGCCTCGCTTCGGTGAACCTTTACGAGCTTTTTACTCGAGTCGATCGACTCGCAAAATCCTCGGCGACGTCTTCTTATTGTACATCTGTTTCTTTGCTCCGGTTTTACGGGCTCGACCGAGGAAACTCTCGATGGCCGGAGAGTTTGCTCTCGGCTCGAGCCCGGCCAAAGGGACTGGTTTCTCTCGGGCCGGAAAGGCTCGAATCTTTTCGTTTTCGCGTCCGTGCGCCCGTCCGCGGCGATAGGCGAGCCTCTATACGCGTAAACGTTAAATCGAATATCGACGCTTTGCTCGAGATAAGTAATAATGTTTCGTGCGCACCGCGGAGGTCCACCCGTAAATTAGGGCCGCGACGTGCCAGGGCTCACCTGCGTACACGAACGAGTTTAATGATTGTTTAATGGCCGCGCGTGTCGTAAATTATCCGTGTATTCGACCGTCTCAAATGCTTGAAATTGCCTCCGGGTCCTGGCATGGGTACGTACAGCAACTCTTCCCTCGCCGCGCTGCATTCGTTTTCTCTTCTTTTTCATCTTCCTCTTCCTCCTCTTCCTCCTCCACCACCGCGTTCTCTGCCCCCCACCCCTGTATCTCCCAGGGACTCCTCCGCCCCCGATCGCCCAGATCACCCTGCGTGTTTCGTGTCTGTTCTCGATCACCGAGCTTTTCGTTTTTCCCCGCGGAGAATTATGATGTTAAAGGAGCGCCGGTACGGATATAGTTGGACGTCGATTGCCGTCCCGACGCGATATCGCTCGCGATATAAATAACCGGGATGGCGATCGTGACAATAATGATGTACCCTCGCGTCGGACGTACCGCCGCAAATCGTTCGTTCGTATGTTCGTACGTTCGTACGTTCGTTCGTTCGTTCGTTCGGGCTTACCTCCATGACGAACCATATTTGATCGTACTCGGTCTTCTTGCCGGACCTCTTCCGATAAATTCCGTAAAAGTCCGGCAGGTTCGGGTGGGACGCTAAGCTTCGCAGGACCTTGTACTCCTCGACGATGAACGGCTGCGACTCGGCCGTCAGCTTCTGCACTTTGACCGCGACCCTCTTGTTACCTGCGAAATCGAGTCCGAATTACGCGACGACCTGTCCTCCGATTCGTATCGCGAGAAGGCAAACGTACCCGCGTTCTGATCGATGGCGTCGTACACGTCCCCGCAGACGCCGAAACCGATGCATTCTCTCAGGAGATAGCGTTTCCCAGGATCCTGGATGCTGTCGAGCCGCTGCATGGCGGTCCTTTTGTCCCGTTCTTCGCCCTCGGCCTCGTCCCTGTTCCGTCTGCCTCGTCCGTCCTCTCTTCCGTATCTCGCGCCATAGCTGTAATCGTTCATTTTTTCGGGCTGCCGGCACTCCACCTGAAACGGCGAGAAATCGTTTGATCGGGAGGAACGATCGCTCGTTATCGAGCGCGGACGGCTCGCGGAAAGTAAAACAAAATCGAGGAAGTAAAGTTTAAACGGTTCCAATCGGGCCGCTCGCATCATCGGCTGATCGCGAAGAAAAGGAAAGATCGGCGCGGGACGTGGCCCCGGGTGGAGGAAGCTGCACACACACGACAAAGAGTTCGTTAATCTCGTTCTCGTTTCCAGGCTGAAGTGCTCGTCGTCGATGGAGCGGGACACGAGGAACGGGAGGACACGAGGAGGTCGTCGCGCGCCTCGTCGCGCTCACGGGGAAAACAGGACCACTCTTCGGTGCCGCACGTCGGTGGTGCTCTTTCCATCCGCGTTCGAACGACGACGGGAAGGTCGAGAATGACTCTTCGAGTTGAAGCGAACGCTCCACAGGATTTTTTTACGAGAGGCCAGGTTCGGCCGGTCGAGGGCTTCACGGCGCATCGGCACAAAGGTGAGTGCTAATTATATTCTTTCTCGAGTGCCGCGTGAACGAGTGGTAATCGCTAATTAGTAGCTCGCTTCCTGAAAGCTTCGACGAGGGATGCCTAAAGCCGCGGAAAGATATCCTAGCCGGCTCGAGAACGTGATTCAGCGTGCCTCTCGTGGACAATGCGCTCTCTCGCGAGGCGGTACAATTCCGCGGCCGCTCTCCTAGGCCTGGAAAGCTTCGCGGAGTTTCTCGGCTCACCGTGGATTTCGTCGATCTTGGATCCACCGGATCGGCGCGGACTTCGCAACGACTTCGATCTTGAAATCCGAAATAGAGTATCGACCGGCGGCCGTCCGCGCGCCCCCTCCCCCCTCCCTCCCCCCAAGTCGGTACTTGTACGGCTGCTGAAACACGCGCTGCAAGCTAATATATATCCCATTTATCGGATCCCACGGATTGCGTAAGAGTATTTAATGGGTTACGAGAGTCCGTGGGTAACGGGTGGCTCGCTTAGCCGCTTTAGCGAAGACAAGACGCGATCGATGCGGTTCTACCTTCGCAGACGCGGCGGGCCCCCTTTCCTCCCGATCGCCGCCGTGCTCGCAGTTGATAAGCTTCGTCGACCGAAAACCATTTTGGCGATCGACCGCGGCGACGGTGACGGCGGCTGTGCGACAGCCACCCTTGCGAGAACGTTTAAACGCGGCAGCTCGCTCGATCGTGGGGCCGCCGTTTCCATAGAATCGAGACGCCGCGTCGCAACGCGCCGCACGAGGAAAAGGAAAGGAAAGAAGTGGGCTGGGAGGGACGAGAAAGAGGGGCGAGAAATGAGAGGATTCGCGTCGTTAGCCAATTCATTTATTCCCGGTGGGTCGGCGCTCGTCCGGCATAATCCGTCGATTTGTCGGCGCGACGTGTCTCGTGTAATGCTGCTTCCTGCCGCTTCTTGCCGCTTGTAATCGAACAGGGAAAGGGAAAGGGAGAAAGGGTGCGAGAGAGGCGGACAGGGTGGCAGGAGGGCGGGGAGAGGCAACGCGTCGCTGACTATATGTGAACGGACGGACGTAAGAAACTCGGGTTGATCCACGATGTCCTCGCTGTTCTCTCTTCTCTTCCCTTCTCTTTTCTACTGTTCTGTTCTGTTCTGTTCTGTTCCGTTCTGTTCCGTTCTGTTCTGCCCTGTTCTGTTCCGTCGCGGCCGCATGCGTTACCGCGGCTTGTTCAGTTTTCTCGGCGGTCTCCTTCCAGCTTCTTCCTTTTCCTCGTTGCTATACCGTGCCACGCCGTGCGGTGCCGTACAGTGCCGCGTAGGTTTATTGGTACGGCGGGGCGTTAAATTATTGATGCTCGAGCGTGCGCCGCGAGAACGCGACGAGAACGCGGCGCGGATGCCGCGAGAACGCCGCGAGTGGCCAGAAGAAAGAAGGAAGAGTGTACCGGTGGTTAGGACGGGTCCTGTGATTTCAGAAAAAGCTTTCCGTGCCACTCGGTCCATCGGTTCTTTTCTCTCTGCCGATTCGCGTACACGTCTCCTCCCGTCCGCCTCTTTGTCTCTTCGCGGGTCTCCCGTCCTCGTTCGGCCGGGAGCCGCGAACCTGTGCAGGGCCCCGAGCTCTTTAAAAGGGAAGGAGCGTGGGGGCGACGAATCGCTGGTCGTTGTGGGAAAGTTTCGTGCGTACGAACTCACGCGCGAGCAACGCGCGCGATAATGTACCACGATCGGAAATCGGGGGACCCCGGACGATTTTCATCCAAACGGCATTCCTCCTCGTCAACGCGATCGGCCGTGCCGTCGGTCGGTCGGTCGGTCGGTCGTCGTCTCCGCGGTCGATCTTGTTCCCGGACACCGGTGCCGGGTCCCAGGTTGACCGTTTCGGTCATCTCGGCCGACCTATTTCTCGTCGGTTCGTTTTCCTCCCTTCGCTCTCGATAAGACTAAGCGAAGCGAAACGAAAGAGGGGCGGAGTTCCGAGTTTCGAATGCGCGCTCTCCGAAACGAGCTGTGGGAAAGTTGATATTCGTTGGCCGAGGTGGGTCCCCCGCTATAGCGGCGGAATGTTAGCACCGCGAATCCCTGGGAAGAAGCAGCAACGGTAGTGGCGGTGGACGAACAAGGCGAAAAAGAGAAAGAAAAGGAGGCGCAGAAGCCGAAAACGATCGGCAGTCGACCGGTTCGGGCCGGTTGAAAAGGGTTCGACACTCCTTTCGCCGGAAAGTACGGTAAACTTGGTGACAAGTGGCCCGTTCTCTCGCGTTTCTCTTGCCGGTCCCGCGAACGGTGCTTCCTCGCCGGACGCGCAACCAATTCGGATTCAGACGGCCGAGAGAACGAGAACGAGACCGAGACCGATCCCGTGTCGAGGCTCGACGACCGAGCCGGACGATCGATTATCCGGAAAAACTAGTAGACGCTAATCGAATTGGCCGCTCGATTCGGAGACCGCTTCCCTGCGGCTCGAAACGCGACACCGTCGCGTCGCGTCGCGTTGCGTCGCATCGCGTCGGCTCGATCGCTTGTTCCCCGGTGGAAAAAGTGGTATCGAGAGACGTAGGTTTGCCCGCGACGATATCGACGAGCTCCTCCGCGAGGCACGAGGCTTCCGTTTCTTGCGACTCGGATCCTTCTCTCTCGGACCTTTTACAGATCCCCGAAGATCGATCCTTTCGGCAGATAACGCGCTTGTCCACTCCTCTTTGAGATTCCGTGGCGGAGGTGTCGGTGTTCTCGCGATCGAGCGAGGATCGCGAAAAATCGCTGCTTCCATGCCGGTCGTACGTTATTTCCGTCAGGGGGTTAATCGATACCGGGAATCTCGCCGCTGTTCTTCTTCCCCGAAGCTCATGCAACATTTAACTTTCCGCTATATTCTTCTCGGCCTCCCGGCTCGCGCTTGCGATTCCCTCCTCCTCGTTCTTCTTCTCGTTCTCGTCCTCGTTCTCGTCCTCGTTCCTCATCCTCTCCGTCGTCTCAGTCGTCGTCGTCGTCTTCGTCGTCGTCGTCGTCGTCGTCGTCGTCGTCGTCGTTGATCTCCTGCTCGTTCTCGTTCTTCTTGTCTTNACGCCGCGTCGCAACGCGCCGCACGAGGAAAAGGAAAGGAAAGAAGTGGGCTGGGAGGGACGAGAAAGAGGGGCGAGAAATGAGAGGATTCGCGTCGTTAGCCAATTCATTTATTCCCGGTGGGTCGGCGCTCGTCCGGCATAATCCGTCGATTTGTCGGCGCGACGTGTCTCGTGTAATGCTGCTTCCTGCCGCTTCTTGCCGCTTGTAATCGAACAGGGAAAGGGAAAGGGAGAAAGGGTGCGAGAGAGGCGGACAGGGTGGCAGGAGGGCGGGGAGAGGCAACGCGTCGCTGACTATATGTGAACGGACGGACGTAAGAAACTCGGGTTGATCCACGATGTCCTCGCTGTTCTCTCTTCTCTTCCCTTCTCTTTTCTACTGTTCTGTTCTGTTCTGTTCTGTTCCGTTCTGTTCCGTTCTGTTCTGCCCTGTTCTGTTCCGTCGCGGCCGCATGCGTTACCGCGGCTTGTTCAGTTTTCTCGGCGGTCTCCTTCCAGCTTCTTCCTTTTCCTCGTTGCTATACCGTGCCACGCCGTGCGGTGCCGTACAGTGCCGCGTAGGTTTATTGGTACGGCGGGGCGTTAAATTATTGATGCTCGAGCGTGCGCCGCGAGAACGCGACGAGAACGCGGCGCGGATGCCGCGAGAACGCCGCGAGTGGCCAGAAGAAAGAAGGAAGAGTGTACCGGTGGTTAGGACGGGTCCTGTGATTTCAGAAAAAGCTTTCCGTGCCACTCGGTCCATCGGTTCTTTTCTCTCTGCCGATTCGCGTACACGTCTCCTCCCGTCCGCCTCTTTGTCTCTTCGCGGGTCTCCCGTCCTCGTTCGGCCGGGAGCCGCGAACCTGTGCAGGGCCCCGAGCTCTTTAAAAGGGAAGGAGCGTGGGGGCGACGAATCGCTGGTCGTTGTGGGAAAGTTTCGTGCGTACGAACTCACGCGCGAGCAACGCGCGCGATAATGTACCACGATCGGAAATCGGGGGACCCCGGACGATTTTCATCCAAACGGCATTCCTCCTCGTCAACGCGATCGGCCGTGCCGTCGGTCGGTCGGTCGGTCGGTCGTCGTCTCCGCGGTCGATCTTGTTCCCGGACACCGGTGCCGGGTCCCAGGTTGACCGTTTCGGTCATCTCGGCCGACCTATTTCTCGTCGGTTCGTTTTCCTCCCTTCGCTCTCGATAAGACTAAGCGAAGCGAAACGAAAGAGGGGCGGAGTTCCGAGTTTCGAATGCGCGCTCTCCGAAACGAGCTGTGGGAAAGTTGATATTCGTTGGCCGAGGTGGGTCCCCCGCTATAGCGGCGGAATGTTAGCACCGCGAATCCCTGGGAAGAAGCAGCAACGGTAGTGGCGGTGGACGAACAAGGCGAAAAAGAGAAAGAAAAGGAGGCGCAGAAGCCGAAAACGATCGGCAGTCGACCGGTTCGGGCCGGTTGAAAAGGGTTCGACACTCCTTTCGCCGGAAAGTACGGTAAACTTGGTGACAAGTGGCCCGTTCTCTCGCGTTTCTCTTGCCGGTCCCGCGAACGGTGCTTCCTCGCCGGACGCGCAACCAATTCGGATTCAGACGGCCGAGAGAACGAGAACGAGACCGAGACCGATCCCGTGTCGAGGCTCGACGACCGAGCCGGACGATCGATTATCCGGAAAAACTAGTAGACGCTAATCGAATTGGCCGCTCGATTCGGAGACCGCTTCCCTGCGGCTCGAAACGCGACACCGTCGCGTCGCGTCGCGTTGCGTCGCATCGCGTCGGCTCGATCGCTTGTTCCCCGGTGGAAAAAGTGGTATCGAGAGACGTAGGTTTGCCCGCGACGATATCGACGAGCTCCTCCGCGAGGCACGAGGCTTCCGTTTCTTGCGACTCGGATCCTTCTCTCTCGGACCTTTTACAGATCCCCGAAGATCGATCCTTTCGGCAGATAACGCGCTTGTCCACTCCTCTTTGAGATTCCGTGGCGGAGGTGTCGGTGTTCTCGCGATCGAGCGAGGATCGCGAAAAATCGCTGCTTCCATGCCGGTCGTACGTTATTTCCGTCAGGGGGTTAATCGATACCGGGAATCTCGCCGCTGTTCTTCTTCCCCGAAGCTCATGCAACATTTAACTTTCCGCTATATTCTTCTCGGCCTCCCGGCTCGCGCTTGCGATTCCCTCCTCCTCGTTCTTCTTCTCGTTCTCGTCCTCGTTCTCGTCCTCGTTCCTCATCCTCTCCGTCGTCTCAGTCGTCGTCGTCGTCTTCGTCGTCGTCGTCGTCGTCGTCGTCGTCGTCGTCGTTGATCTCCTGCTCGTTCTCGTTCTTCTTGTCTTACCACAATGTATCTCGACGTTTTTTTTCACTATCTCCGTCTCCGTCTCCCTTCGCGTTCCCGTCGGAAATACCGATACGTCGGTCGAACGACCGCGTGTGTCCGTCTTCGTCGTTCTTGCTCGACCGAAGTTGGCTCGAGACGACACCTGCCTTGGATTTACCTCCGATACCTGTACCGCTTCGCGAGAGAGACCGACTCTCTCTCTCTCTCTCTCTTTCTCTCTATCTCTCGCTCTCTCTCCTCCGTCTCTTCTCGGGTTTCTCTCTTTTTCCCCGTGACTCCTCACAAAACATCCAGAAACACATGTTCCGGCACCTCGGAGACGCGCACCGTGGAACGTAAAGCACCTCGCGTATACACCACCTTTTCTCTTTATCTCTTTTGCTCTTTTCCCCTCCTTTTTTCTCTTTTTCCTTTCTTCTTGCGCTCGTCCTCCCGTTCTCCTCGCTCTCCTTTCCCACCGTGTTTCTCTCTTCCTGGTTCCGTCTCTCACCCGCTCCTCTCTCTCCGCCCGTCCCCAACCCTCCCCCCTCTCACTTTCTACTCGGACCTGTCGAGCGAAACTTGTTAATTGCGGCATTATTCGCGATCCGAAAACGATAAAGTCTCGGTGACCGGGCCCGGTGCAGATTGTCGCGACGTACTGGCATCTCGAGGGGCCCCCTCGGCGTTTGCGCGCTCTCCCGAACGGAGCCGAGCGGAGCGTGTACCAACCGACTGTCCCGCGGTCGTTCGCGATCGCCTTCCAAATTTGGCCGACGTTGCTCGAAGTTGCGGCGAGTCGACGGGCACAGGAATCGAGCGGGTTTTCGGAACGGTTCGCGCAGCCTTAACGTACGCGCGGCTAATTACGCGTGGTCCGGACGACGGGTCGCCACGATTGCGAACCAGACCGGCTTGTATTCTTGACAGCTGGGGTTCCCAGCGATTGGCTAGAGTCGCGGAAGACTACGAGAAGGCGGCGAAGAGGACTCGGCCCTGTGTAGAAGATCCGGCGACGAACGGAACGAAGGGGTTCCGCGGAAGGTGCAAAACACTTACTCGTAAAGGAGTGGTAACGGGTGCTCTTAGCGTGGCGCACGATGAAACTCACCTCTAATTAAAACGTCTGGCAGGTTGTGCAAGCCCTACGGCGTCCACCCTCGCAATGCTCGCAACGCTCGTGTGCCGGAGTAAGAGTCGAGCTCTACGACGCTCGTGTAGGGCGGTGTAGTCACGATTGCGTCGAGGGGATGCTACTGGGGAGGGGTGCTTGGCTTCCATGATCCAATAACGCCGACTTAATTAACTAACTGCTAACTCGCAAGCCTGTTAGCATTGATTTCGTCCCCGAGATCGTCGTTCAGCTCCGACGCTCGCTCTCTCTCTCTTTGTCTTAGCGAATCTCCTCTCCTCTCTCTCTCTATCTCTCTATCTCCCCCTCTCCGTCCTTTTCCCTTCTTCAGCATGCCTTCGCCCCTTTCCACGCAATGTCTTCGTTCCTTCGTCCGACGAATTTCGTAGCGGCGATCGCAGCAGAGCTTTAGAGTTCGGCGGGAACGGAGGCGAACGGTTCGGGAATCGGTAGAAGCACGCAGAAGGTAATTGTCGTCGCGGCACAGGTGCCCATTTAGCGATAAACAACGTTGCGTCGTGCTCCCGGTTCTCTAATCTGGTTGGCCGGATCGATGCGCCTTGAAAAAGATCTCCCGAGGGTCGTGCGATAAATTAATGCGCTTTATCGCGGCTTCTTCAGGGTCGTCCTGGCTGGCGCAGTTGTCAAAGGGAGCCGCGGTTAATGCGAGGACGCGGCGCGTCCGTCGTCTTCTTGCGTCGCGTTTCCTTGATTTTTCTCCGGCTCGCCGCGAGACGGAGAAAGAAGAACACGAGCGTGATTATGCTCGCGCGGGGCGAACGAGCGTAAACGAGTCGGAATAAACGCGCGCCGGCCAAGATTTTCGTCGTCGAAGAACGATGTCGATAAGAGATGAGAACCTACTGGAAAATACTGTCTCGGTAATATTCCGGATTATCGGGGGTTGCGGCCGCGTCGACCACCGAACCGCGCGGAAATACGATTATGAGAATCCTCGTCCGATTTCGGAGCTAATCTAATCGGAATGCTAGTCATCGCGTATAGACCGGAAAACCTAATTTGTCGTCGTCGTCGTCGTCGTTGAGTTCCAGGGATTTGGTGCCGGTCGATCCGAGCCGTGTCGCGACGCGCGCCGCGAACGAAGTTGCAAACTCGCGACGGATAGACGGCCGGGGTTCGCGAACGAATACAGCTTCCGTGGAATCCCGCGGCTCGTCGATCAATCGTATCGTATCGTATCGTATCGAATCGAATCGAGTCGAATCGAGTGGTGTCGCGACGCGGGGGCCGCGCAACGCCGGCAAAACACGCGTCCCACGGTTTCGTTCCGATATCGGAATGGTGTTTTCGCCGGGACACGTAAGAGGGATTGACACAGATTTTCCCAAGGTTGTAACGGCAGACAATTTATCGTTCGATCGTTGGGAAAGAAGGTCGAACGAATCTGACGGAGCAACAAATAAAAGTATCGGAATGGCTTCGGCCGTCTGTAAATCTACCGGAGATTTAGCGCCGCGATACTTAAGGATTTCTGCGTGTACCCGATCGCGACCACGATCGCGCACGCGAGTCGGCCGATAATTGGACCGGTCGCGAGAGAGAGAGAGAGAGAGAGAGAGGGGGGGGGGAGCAAAACAGCGGTGTTGTTGTCGGTCGAAGGAACTCTTTATTGTACGCGCATTATTGAATTGTATACAATCGATCGCATCCATTCGCAATCTCGAGACTTGCGCACTCTGCTTCGTCTAATAATACTGTGGCGGAGGTGTTACAGTTGGTGTGGATATTCAAATTATTCGCTAATTAAATAGAGCAACGTTATAAATAAATTATAGGTTCGCTTATCCTACGGATTAAATTATATTACCCGCGCGGTAAACAAGAATTACGTCCGGTGTCGTCTCTCGCCGCACCGGCGTGCCCCACTCGAGTTTCTTGTTGCTCGCGTCGCCGTTCGTCGTCGATCCGATTTAGTCCCGATGCCGAGCGTATCTCGGCCGATCGAACAGACCCGATGAATCGAATATCGATGTATCGTCCGTGATCGAATGCACTACACCCGCGACAAAACGGTGCCGCCGTTATCCTCGTTTCGGGTTACGCGTCGTCCCTATTTAGAAACGAAACTAATCTTTCGGTTCACTTGCAGACGGTGATCCATTCCTCGACGGTGCAGTTCTGGCATCGCACGACGCAGCACCATTGGAACTTGCATCTGCAGAGCTCGACGCGGCGTTGCCTGACGACGTTGTAGCCGCGTCCGCAGCACAGGCTGCCGCATCCGTCGCCGCCGTTGCTGGTCTTGTTGCACTTGCGACCCGCGGTGCCGGGTATGTCCGCCGTGGGCTCCTTCTCGCAGAAGTTTGGCGATTTTTGGTAGTAGAACAACTGCTTGGCCAGGTCCCTGGGCCTCCTCTTGCGGCCGTTTCCGCCGGCGCCGCCGCCGCCGCCGCCGCCGCCCCGGTGCTTCCTCTGCCTCTGTCTGTCGGGCCTCCTTCTTCTGGACCCCCTGACTCTGGTCAACGGAGTCACGCTGCCCAGGTTGCTCTGCGCGACCAGCACGGCGTTCCGGAAACGGTCCTTCAGCGTCTTCCCGACCAACCGGAAGTCCGGCGCCACCTTCCAGCAGGTCTTGAGCTCGCAGGAACCCGACATACCGTGGCACTTGCAGCGCACCTGCATGTTGCTCGCCACCGCCTGGAACGTGATCGATCGATTGTTTCGTGATCGAAGATCCGAGCGAGCGTCGACGAACCGAGAGCGTTGCGACGCGACGCGCGCCGCGTTCGCGCGGACTGGAGCCGCGCAGCGGACAGAGAAGAAGAGCGAGAGAGAGAGAGAGAGAGAGAGAGAGGGAAGAGAAAGGGGGTAATTTTCTTTTAGACAAAGAGGTGTCGCGTACCAAACGGTTAATGAGTCTACGGCTGGGTGGTCCAGCCCCGGGCTTCGTCTTAATAACGTCGAGGCGAGACCAAGCGTGGAGAGGCGCACCGGGGAGAGAAACGGACTCGGCACGACTGTTCTCCTACTCCTCTCCACCCCTATTCGCCACCTCTTCTCCTCTTTTGCTCGACCCCGTCTTTCTCCGTCCGCCTCGGCCGTTCGGTCTCGTTTCTCTCGACCTTTGCCGTCCCTTTTTCTTTTTTTCTTTTTGTTATCGGACCGCGAGATCTTCGCCATAGAATTGCGGGGGGCAAGAATCGTTTTCCGGGGAACGGGGGACCAAGAAAAACAAATGGGAGAGCAAGAGACGACGGCGGTCGGGAAAGGGCGGATCGATCGGAAGCGATGCTTACCAAACGGCCGGCTTGATTGTTGTGGAGATTGACCGTCGACTGTATGTCCCCGGCCCTCTCGCGCGTGTCTAGGAACTGTCTCGAGAACTCCATGCCGTAGTCGAGGTTGTGAGAGCAACCGCCCCACTTCCATTGGGTGCCCCTGGCCTTGGCAGGCGGCTTACCCTTGTAGCTCGACGGGTCGCATCCGCAGGAGAGCAGCCCGCCCATGCTGCACGCTCGGGCCACGCTGTGCGCCACCCCCGCCGCCGAAATCGCGAAAGCGAACGCGGTCTCCCTGTAACCTGCAACCAGAAAATGTCATTCTCGTTTTACCTACGGTAAACTGTCGGTTCTCTGTTTGCCCGTTCCCGTCGCCCGGTCCCGTCTCTTGTCACTTGAAAGTTTCGCAAAGGCAGGCGGTCGGTCTCTCGCGACGCAACGAGGAGAGACGCTCGATCGGTCCGATGCGGACCGGGTCGGACCGGATCGGATCGGACCGGATCGGACCGGTTAGCAAATTGCCGCTCGTCCAGGATGACGGTGGCGGTCCGCGCGGAGACGACACCGGAGAGTAATACGCGCGAGCGATCGCGACGAGACGCGCCGCGACGCGACGAGACAGCGGCGATCGCATTCGTCGTCGTTTCTCTCGCGAGCGACGCGACGCGTCGAGAGAACGAAACGCCGAAGGGAACGGGGAGGACGCGAACCAGCGGGAAACAGCGGGGCACCGTGGAGTCCCGGGCTTCCGTAGATGGTGCTTCGCCTTCGAAGGGCGAGTCCGGCGACGGATCGTTCGACGGATCGGCCGACAGACAGCCATCAGACGAAGTTCAGCGGTAGATTATTCAGCCGTCCGTCAAAACAAAGCGTGGCCATCAGCAGCGGCGGCCGGTCGGCATCCATTGACTGCATGTATAAGCGATCGCCCGGTGGGGTTCCCGAACACGTAATACCAAACTCTGTCGCGCGGCGAGTTTTCCTCGTCGGTCCCCGATCGCCGGTGCACGCGTCGCGGGCCGATCCGCCGCCACCTCTTCCGGCGATCGCGCGAGTTCGACGAAACCGGTCGCGGCCGCTCGGAACGGCGACGAAACGGGAGCGGACGGCTCGCGGTTCGCAGAATTTGGAAACTCGCGGATCGACCAGCGAGGGGAGCGACGGCTCGGACGGGAGCGTTCGGGTGCGTAATGCGACGTCGGCCGCACTTTTTCTTCGGTGGCTCCAAGGTCTCTCATCTCCGAAGCGTCGCCCGGAGTCGCGTTGACGAATGGTCGATCGTCAAACCGCAATGGTGGCTGTCACCTTACAAACGATACGACACACGACTGCCCGCGGGCTTCGGTGTGCCGCGCGGACCCAACTGTCCCTTTCTTCGCGACCGTTCGACAATGGCCACACATTACTCTGCCCCCCTCGGGGCCCTCCCCCGAGAGGGAGCTACTCCAATCCACGAATACCGGGCGGTATTTGCAGTATTCATGAGAGCGAGATACCGGGGAGACGCGCTAAAGGCACATTCGAAAGGATTTGTGGTATTCGTTCCTGACACCCTATGAGGCATGAGGCACTGCGCGGCTGTCGTTACGTCGTCTCCCGTCTCCCGTCTCTCCTGTCTCCTTTCCCGCCGCCCGAAACCTCTCCGACGACGAACCGCCGCCCGGCTTTATTGTCCTCCCTTCGAATCCGTGTTTCGAGCGCGTCTCGCGACAGGGGCCGATTCCCCCGAAGAAACCTCCTTTAATTTCGTCTTTATCGATTCACGTCCGAGGCTTCGCCTACCCCGATCGCCGATATCCCCGTACGCCCGCCTCCGAGCTTCGTTTCAGCGTCCACCACCGGACGTCTCCTTTTGCTCCGATGGATATTCTTTCAAGATTCGTCGCAGCCTCGTCGGATCCGCGGGCGGACGAACCGTGCGGGCGAACCGAGCGGACGAACCGAGCGAACGAAACCGAGAAGATCTCGGACAGCCGAGGCTCGATTACGTCGCCCTTCGTCGATCGTACGAAACCTGGCGACGTTAAAGACCTTCGGACTTAGCGGAGACCGGAATCGAGCCGATTCCACGACGATGGCCGGGTCGATAAAAACGTCGACGACGAAGAGGATCGATCGTGAAGGGGCCGTGTTCGGGAGCCGTCCGATATCGGTGACTCCGTTTCGGAGAATGATAAAACCCCCTGCGTCGGGCCCCGAGCCGGGTGGAAGAGGGAAAGAGAGAGAGAGAGAGAGAACGAAAACAGTTCTTTATAAGGACTCTCGCGGTGGGAGGGGTTGCTGAAAGCTTGCGCTTTATACGGCTATTGGCAGCAACTGTTTTATAATGCAGATAGCTACTGGAGAGAGAGCTGCTGTGTTGCTACTGCCGTCGCGCCACTGCCAGCCGGTGCTCGCATCCTGCTCCTGCTCGTGCTCCTGCTGTCTGCTCCTGCTCCTGCTTCTGCTCCTGCTCCTGCTCCTGCTGCTACTGTCCGATGCCAAGAGGATGGTAAGAGGAGCATGAGGGACTCGTAATAAATCCTCCACGGGGAGTTGTACGTCTCTTCTCCTGGACAGTGGGAGAGGAGCCGAGGTAGAAAGAAAAGGAGGACGAGAGACGACGAGGTGCGCAGAGGGACGCGATGCCTCTTTACTCTTCGGCCCTTGACGCAAGGGACGCGGTGACGGATGGCGCGCAGCCCTTGCCCTGCTACCCCGTGTCAAGCCCAAATCACTGCTTAGATAACTCAATAGATAGCGGATGTAACCGGGTACGCGCGGCCCACGGTTACATTCACGGGAGCGTGCTCTCCTTCTTTTCGGTCGACTCCCTCTTTACGGCAGCTTCTTCGACGCTCTTCTCCCATACTCCCGGCAACTGGTTTTCAAATTAGTCCTCTAGCTTTTACCGTACTGATATCCGATAAGCGTACCAGTTTACGATCCCCCAGAAACTCTCGGGAGCTGCTCTCGAAAGCGAGCGGTTTTTCGAAAAATCTGCGCGTGTGTTTCCCTTAGGCCGCGCGCGCGCGCGATTTCGCGAAACCGAAAGCGCTCTGCCACGAATTCGTTCCGCGCGAATCCCGCTTGGCATTCGCGGACATGTTTCCGCTGTCATCGTTCCACGCGAGGAAGCGAATGTCGGGCGTATCGTGTCTCGCGGCCGGTCTCGCCTTGTGTGGGCCCCTGGAGGCGGCCACGCGAGACGAAGAGGGAGGGGGGAGGGCCCGCTTTCGTGTACATTTCATAATACATTAAGCCGTTTTGCCGAGGTTTAACGAATACGTGGCGAAAGAGCGAAGCCACGAGGGAGACGCGACGTGGCGGGTACGGGCGGAACCGGGTGAAACTGGTGGACGGAAGAAGCATGGAAGAAGACCGGAGGAACGACAGAAGAAGGAACGAGAAAGAGAGAGAGAGAGAGAGAGAGACCAAACGGAGAGAGGATCGTGTCCGAGAGATTTAACGACGCGCGCGCGAGAGCACGCGTTCTTTCTCGAGATACGCAGCCGGCACGAATTTGACACGGTGGATTTCTCGAATGGCCACGCGGGACCCTCGGACCCGGCCGCGCTGCGCGATGTCGTCCTTAAAAAGCTGCGTGGAACCGTTGGTAATGGTAAAGTACGGCCCGTTTCTCGGAAGCTGCTGCCCTCTAACTTCGCCGCGAACCCGGGGCACAACCGATCCTCGGGCCGTCCGCTTCGGGATAATCGGCATATCGACGATCCTCTATACGGTACGGCAGGGCACGACGCAGCAGCGACGGACGCAGAATTCGTCGGTGGACGCGACGAACAAGGAGAGAGAGAGAGAGAGAAAAGACTCGTGGAATCGACACCTCCGGTTGGCCAGTCGGCAAAAAAGAAGGTGTACCGATCCACGGGGACAGATAACGAGGAGAGACAGACGTGGCGGGCACCGAGATCGTGGCCGGCGGACGGACGGAACTTAAGCTTTCAGGTCAGGTGCGCTCGATGTCGCGCTCTCGCGCACTCGTCCGACACGATATATGTTTCCTCTTTCGGCGCACGTACGCGCCACGACGAATTTATATGTCACACTGGAATAGAACAGTCGAGGGGGGCAATCTCTTCCCGTCTCACGCCGGTCACCGGGCTCTCCTCTGCTCACCTTCTCTGTTCCTCACGTGGGAGTTTCGGGGACAGGTTCTCGGAGGTGACCGCGACCAAGGAGGCGCGCACACACACCGTATTCTGATTTAAGGAAGCACCGTCTCTCGCCTACGCCGTTCCGTGCTCGTCGACGACGTCGTAAAAGATTTCACCTTTCCACGTCCGCTCCTTCCCTCCTGGGGGACCGAGTGAGCGACGGAGCGACGGAGCGAGAGACCGCCTATGTTTGCGTCGATTTAACATGTTCTCGGCCGCGAGACGAGATCTTACCTCTCTGCAGGAGAACGCTGCTTTGCTGGGTCCTGCTGCTGGGCGTCAGGGACGAGCAGTTCCACCTGTGCCACATGAACTGGTGCTGGCACTCGGATATAGCCATCTGCAAACCTTTGATCGCGGCCACCGTCACGTCCGGATTTCTGTGGCATAGCTCGCGTTGCTCCTTTGTCAGGCCAGGAATACCGTTGCAGACCACGGCATTCCCGCTCACCCAATCGTCCACGGAGTTGCTCATTAAACAGGTCGCGCTGCAAATCAAACGAAATTCACCAATTAACGTTCTGACCGGGCGGAACCGTACTTTTGCCCGCCGGATTTCGGGGCCCCGGGCCCCGGGTCCCGGGTCCCGGTTTTCCCACGAGGCGCACGCGTTCGATCGCTTTGAATGATTCTGCTTTCAGGGAATCCGGCCGGGGACATTCCACGGGCTCGCGCTGCGATCTCCTTCCGATTCCTCCGTGTCTCCCGCCCCTCCGATTCCGCCGTGCTCCCCTTTTGCCGCGGCGAGCCGCGTGGATCACGGTTATCGAATTCCCGATCGCGAACACGGATGCTTTCGGATTCATCGCCGATTAAAGAAACACCGTGCCTTTAAGTATATATACTGGCTATTCCACCCAGGTTTCGCGTAAATCCGAACGCGAAAGTTTCGTTGCCGCGCCGACGAGGCCGGAACGGGAACGGGAACGCGCGCGCGCACGAGAAAAATGATCGATATAAATCGAGGGCTAAAAGCGCGCGTGCATCTTGCACGCGTCTGCTTTTCTTTCGGCAACTTTACGAGACCGAGGTCGAAAGGTGGCGGCGATAACTTTCAAAGAGCCGCTCGAATATCTCCGGTGCGCCTCCTCCTTCTTTCCTCGTCGTGTTCGTTCGTTCGCGTTCCACCCGTGTACACGCTCTCGGTATCGGTCGTCCCTTACCCTTTCTCGATCCCTCGCCGTCTGCCCTTTCGCATCGCCGCGATAACGGCGTTCGCCTCTCGGAAGAAGAGCTCTTAAAGCGCTATCTTAAGCGACAGTTTCCATCTAATGGCCGTACATTACAAAGTACCGGGTGTTAATTAATTTTCAGATAAAAGCAGAAACGAGAGAGAGAGAGAGAGAAAGAGGAGCAGAGCGAACGCGCGGGACAGGCTGCGCCGAAAAAATATATAGGTTCGCGTTCGCTCGAGCGTGCCCCGTTCGTTTAGCCCCTTATGGTCCCCGTAAGGGATCTCTCTTGCCCCCTCAGCCCCCACCCTCGCGGCGCGGCAACGGAAGTAGATGGATCCCGGTGTCGCGGCGCGGGTATTCGTTTATTTGCCGAAACGGTCAATTTTTTCGCCGGAGGATCCTGGGGGTCCCGAAGGGTCCCGAACGATGTCACGGACGGATGCGAGATTCCCGGCGGGACGGTGGTTATCTGCGGGTACAAATTAGCCGACGAGCTTCTCCTAAAGTAAAAGCTGTGTATAGCACCCGCGCGAACGAGCAACGGAGAGAAAAGAGCGCCAAGGGGGAGAGAGCGACAGAGAGAGAGAGAGAGAGAGAGAGAGAGAGAGAGAGAGCGAGAAAGAGAGAAAGGGGGAGGGGGAGGAAAGGNATATGTTTCCTCTTTCGGCGCACGTACGCGCCACGACGAATTTATATGTCACACTGGAATAGAACAGTCGAGGGGGGCAATCTCTTCCCGTCTCACGCCGGTCACCGGGCTCTCCTCTGCTCACCTTCTCTGTTCCTCACGTGGGAGTTTCGGGGACAGGTTCTCGGAGGTGACCGCGACCAAGGAGGCGCGCACACACACCGTATTCTGATTTAAGGAAGCACCGTCTCTCGCCTACGCCGTTCCGTGCTCGTCGACGACGTCGTAAAAGATTTCACCTTTCCACGTCCGCTCCTTCCCTCCTGGGGGACCGAGTGAGCGACGGAGCGACGGAGCGAGAGACCGCCTATGTTTGCGTCGATTTAACATGTTCTCGGCCGCGAGACGAGATCTTACCTCTCTGCAGGAGAACGCTGCTTTGCTGGGTCCTGCTGCTGGGCGTCAGGGACGAGCAGTTCCACCTGTGCCACATGAACTGGTGCTGGCACTCGGATATAGCCATCTGCAAACCTTTGATCGCGGCCACCGTCACGTCCGGATTTCTGTGGCATAGCTCGCGTTGCTCCTTTGTCAGGCCAGGAATACCGTTGCAGACCACGGCATTCCCGCTCACCCAATCGTCCACGGAGTTGCTCATTAAACAGGTCGCGCTGCAAATCAAACGAAATTCACCAATTAACGTTCTGACCGGGCGGAACCGTACTTTTGCCCGCCGGATTTCGGGGCCCCGGGCCCCGGGTCCCGGGTCCCGGTTTTCCCACGAGGCGCACGCGTTCGATCGCTTTGAATGATTCTGCTTTCAGGGAATCCGGCCGGGGACATTCCACGGGCTCGCGCTGCGATCTCCTTCCGATTCCTCCGTGTCTCCCGCCCCTCCGATTCCGCCGTGCTCCCCTTTTGCCGCGGCGAGCCGCGTGGATCACGGTTATCGAATTCCCGATCGCGAACACGGATGCTTTCGGATTCATCGCCGATTAAAGAAACACCGTGCCTTTAAGTATATATACTGGCTATTCCACCCAGGTTTCGCGTAAATCCGAACGCGAAAGTTTCGTTGCCGCGCCGACGAGGCCGGAACGGGAACGGGAACGCGCGCGCGCACGAGAAAAATGATCGATATAAATCGAGGGCTAAAAGCGCGCGTGCATCTTGCACGCGTCTGCTTTTCTTTCGGCAACTTTACGAGACCGAGGTCGAAAGGTGGCGGCGATAACTTTCAAAGAGCCGCTCGAATATCTCCGGTGCGCCTCCTCCTTCTTTCCTCGTCGTGTTCGTTCGTTCGCGTTCCACCCGTGTACACGCTCTCGGTATCGGTCGTCCCTTACCCTTTCTCGATCCCTCGCCGTCTGCCCTTTCGCATCGCCGCGATAACGGCGTTCGCCTCTCGGAAGAAGAGCTCTTAAAGCGCTATCTTAAGCGACAGTTTCCATCTAATGGCCGTACATTACAAAGTACCGGGTGTTAATTAATTTTCAGATAAAAGCAGAAACGAGAGAGAGAGAGAGAGAAAGAGGAGCAGAGCGAACGCGCGGGACAGGCTGCGCCGAAAAAATATATAGGTTCGCGTTCGCTCGAGCGTGCCCCGTTCGTTTAGCCCCTTATGGTCCCCGTAAGGGATCTCTCTTGCCCCCTCAGCCCCCACCCTCGCGGCGCGGCAACGGAAGTAGATGGATCCCGGTGTCGCGGCGCGGGTATTCGTTTATTTGCCGAAACGGTCAATTTTTTCGCCGGAGGATCCTGGGGGTCCCGAAGGGTCCCGAACGATGTCACGGACGGATGCGAGATTCCCGGCGGGACGGTGGTTATCTGCGGGTACAAATTAGCCGACGAGCTTCTCCTAAAGTAAAAGCTGTGTATAGCACCCGCGCGAACGAGCAACGGAGAGAAAAGAGCGCCAAGGGGGAGAGAGCGACAGAGAGAGAGAGAGAGAGAGAGAGAGAGAGAGAGAGAGCGAGAAAGAGAGAAAGGGGGAGGGGGAGGAAAGGGAGCGATTTCGGGGGACAAAACGAAGAGGAAAAGAGTGGAAAGGAGTGGAAACGAAAGGAGCGTATCCGGAGGACACGGGGGAACGGAGCGGCGAGAGAGGTCCTAGCAGCTCGGTTTCTGCGTAGTGTGGGAAAGGACGGCGGAGGAGGACCAACATTTTAGGGTCGCAGAGGTTATTGAGGGCTCCCATTAACCGATACACCGCTGCACCGTTGCTATCTTTCGCGCTATTGATGATCTACCGAAAGCAGATTAATGATCTCGACTCACCGAAACAAATTACCGAAGACGAGGTCGCGTACCTGTGGAAGTCTGACCGCGTCGATGGATTCCTGCGCGCTACCTTTTCTCTTTTCTCGTTTCTCGTATCGCGTTGCTCGTTTCTCTCGCCGGTGCACCGTTACTCTTTGCTCTTTCGCTTGCTTTCGGTATTTCTTCGATCATAGATCCCTCCGCGGATCCCGGAAACCCGTAACAAGAAGAAGAAGAAGAAGAAGAGGAAGATTGACCGCGCGCGCGTTCGCGTCCACGGGCCCCGTCCTCTCTCGGATCGGCTCGCCGAAATCGTGGGAAATCGTCGAGCGGATCAATGGTCGGAGACGCGAGCTCCGCGTCCTGCATTTTTGCAATGATCCAAGGGGTCGTCGAGGAATCCAAGATGGCGGGACGGATGCACGTGTTTTATTTAACTTGCTCGCTCGCGAACAGACGAGAACGTGAAAGCGAATTACACGCGCGCGCTCTCTCGCCGGCACACCGTCACGTGCACACGCTCGAGCGCGCGCGCGCGCAGGCTTCTCTTTCGCGTACCGAAAGAGAAAGATAAAGAACCACGGAACGGAATTTCGCGTTTAATGGAGGTATACCCGCGGAGAGAGAACTCGTTACGACTGACCCGCGAGAATTCCAGCGGTAGATATCGAACTCGCCTCGCTGCTTTTATTTGCGCGTGAAGCGGCGGCTCTGCCCGACGCCGAACCCTCCTCTCCGGGATTCGGGGACGACGCGTCGAATCGGCGACATCGGGAACGAAGACGAGTCCGCTCGATTAACCGGAATCGGGATCGGAATCGGAATAGGAATCGGGAATCGCGTCGGGGTGCTAAGCGCTCGTGTCGCTCGTATCGATAAACTGGTTTACCCATCGTTACCATCGCGGGAATTATTCGATGCAGCGATTCGACGCGGTTCCGCTCGCGCTTGTCCGCGCTCTTGCTCTCGCTCTTGCTCGCGCGCCGCGTACCCGTGCCTGCGCGAGCGTATGCGAGCCGGTAGCAACTCGTCGGTGCGCGCACGGCCTTGTTCCCGAATCCTGTTCGCAATTATTTAGCGACGAGTGCCTCGACGGAGCGTGTCAAAGGATGTTCGCGTACGCGCGAACCGACGCGACCGCGACGCTCTCGGGAACGTTTACGGCTGGAAGGATTCGTCTTTCGGGACGATTCGGCGGGCAATTTTCGCGAGCACGAAGAAGGGTCGTTCGCGCGAGACGAACTGTGCGAGACCGGCTCGGCGACTCCGTGCCGAAAGAAAGATTCGATTAGAGCGTGGAGGGCGCTCGACACAGAGGAGCAGAGCGAGATCGGGGAGGCATAATGAAGATCGCAGCGGGATCGTTCGTTGTTCGTGCCACGGAGCCGGCTGAAAGGACCTATTTGCACTCAGTCATTGTGCTCTACTCGGAGCCGTCGATGCGACCGCCGCCTTCACGCGCCCTCTCTATTGACAGATTCTTTCCGCAACAAGCGGAAAGAGTGGAACGGAGAGAAGCGAGCTGGAGGAGCGAAGGAGGTTCCGTTGCCGTCGCGACCCGTAAATTTGTCTCGGCGCGGTCGGACACGACGGTTTGCGACCGTAACTCTCTATTCAACCTGGAAGCCCGTTCTCACCTGCAACGTTCTTTTCCCCGGCGGAAACGAATCGTCGTTTTCGACGGTCGCGGTCGGCGAGATAGACGCGTCACGACGCGTAAATAGTTTCGGTGCGATCGAGACTCAACAAGCCGCGGAGCGACGCGACGCGATGCGACGCGAGAGATATCGCGCGTGCGAAACAAACGAGATTCGATTCGACGAGAGACAGCGATCCAACGGGCCAGCTACGAGGTAACGATAACAATTCGAAGTGGATAAGATAAAAGACGTGGTCTGCTGCGACATTTGGACGGTTGCGTCGGTGACGGGATCGGAATGGAGCAGCAGGCCGGAATGCAGATCTAGGTACTCACCGACGATTCTCGAGAAGGATGAGCAACAGGGCGATGGTGGGTCCGATTCTAGTCGCGATCCTAGACGGCGGTCCTTCGTAGACACGTCCTGATCGAGAAGGAGGCATCCTGTCATCGCCCCGAGGACGTCTCGCTTATTCTTTGCGCGGTTTGCCCACTTTAAAAGAGTCGAGTGCGACCCCTCGTCCAGGGCTGCACACCCCTAGCACCCGAACGGAAGGACCCCTCGCTCGAGAGACGGTGCCTCTCTCGGCGCGTAGCTCTCTTTCTTTCTCTCTGTGTTTCTGTACGGTTTTTTTCCGAATCCCTCTCTCCTACGCTTCGTCTCTCGTCTCTCGTCTCCGGCGCGGTGCCTGTGATCAGCAGCCTGGCACGCGTCGAGGACTCCTCCTCGCCCCGGGCACCGGCGCTTCTGCTTTGACGTTCCGTACACGATTCGAGAGCTTCCAGTTTCGCCGCTTCGAGGGGTTGCTCCGAAAACTACCCCGGGACACAATATCCTAGATGACGATCGAACGGTTCGTCGACCGACCGTGCGATTTTCCTTCCTCCGTGTTCCTCCGGCCTTGTCTTTCTTGGCTCGCGTCTCCGCGGCCCCGGCGGTCTCCTCCTCCCTGGCTTTCTTGGATCCGCGAATATTCCCCCGTTGTCCTAGAGTTATTTGGTTGCGCGTTTGGTCCTCGTCTTTGGAGTGAAAAATACTGCCGGCTCCCGCGAACCTCTTCTCGCGTCTACTGGCACTGACACTACGATCGTCGCCGCGGAGTCAAACATTGTCGCGCGGCTCCATGCTCCGCGATCGACGGGTTCCGTGGTCACTCCGCGACATCCCACGAATCGAAAGTCACACTTCCGGATCTGTCGGTGGGAAACGATCGGTTAGAGAGTGGGGTTTTCTGTGTTTATCCTCGGCTAGCCTCGGAGTCGCGGGACGCGGCACCCTCGTACGCCGCGCTCGTTCCCAGGTATCGCGACATTCTGATCGTCCTCCTTGCACCCTTGACGGCGCGGAGACCGGTCGGTGGTGGAGCCCCGCGTTTCCTCCGCTCCTCTCGTTGCTTCGGTCTCGGTCTCGGTCTCGGTCTCGGTCTCGATCTCGATCTCGAAGCTCGAGCCCCGAAGCTCGAACCTCGAAGCTCGAAGCTCGAAGCTCGAAGATCGTAGCGCGGACGAGGCGCGCGCGCGAACCTTTCCAAGAAAAAGAAGATTGTCGCGCGGTTCTGTGTACTTCCGGTGTGTGCGCGCGTTCACGACGAAGTGTCAAGCTCAAATAAAAGAAAAGTCGCCCTCCGGGATCTCTTACTCCTCCCACGCACTCATCCCCCTCCTACGGCTCGTGTTCCTCTTCCACCGGTGGTCTCTCTCTCTCTCTTTCTCTCTCTATCTCTCTCACTCGCTCTCTCTCTCTCTTTCTCACACTCCCTCTCTCTCTCTCTCTCTCCTTCTCTCTATCTTTGTATATCTCTCTCTCGCTCTCTCGTTCCGTTTCCCCCTCGCGCGCGCACCACCGCAGCTATCGTTTCGTTCGTGCAAACAGTCGAATAGCAAACTCCCCGTGGTCGCGTTTCGCGTTCATGGCACCGACTACGAGCCTAGATTGTCGCGTACGTTCGGAGAAGATGCACCGAAGCCGAGAGCGATCGGCGGACGTGGTGTCGAAGGTTAACCGAAGGGGTTGAACGGACGGCCGGAAGTCGACGGACCGATCGGGAGGAAGGGGCGTCGGGCAGACGAGAAGACGGCGAGAGGAACCGAAGAACGGGAAGACGACCGACGAAGTCGACGAAGAAGCGTGGAAAGCTGGGGGAAAAGAGTGGCCGAGGGTGAAACGAGATCGAAGGGAGGGAGAGCCGAGACGGGCCTGGACGGGCCGGGACGAACCGATGATCGCGAGGCTCGATCGCGGGATCGCGGGATCGCGAGATTGAGAAAGAGAGCACGAGAGGGCCGCGCGCGCTATCACTTCCCGTGTCCCCGTGGTTTCCGCGTTCGTTATTCCGACACGCTACTGCGAGCCGAGGAAGAGATGGACAGAATCTGATGATTCCACCTCCGTTCAAGCCCGACGAGGAGCTGTCAGGGAGATCGGTCTGTCTATGATGAACTCGGTGCGCAGTGCGCGGCTACGGGGGCCCTCCTCGCCCTCCCATAGGGAGAGAAAGGAGAGATAGGGAGCGGTAGGCACGAAGAAACCAACTACCCCCCCACCATAACCACCACCATCCGGACACGACCACCACTACCGTCGGCCACCACCCTGAGATTCAAACCGAGGGACGAGGATGGACGATCGCAAGTGAAACCACGGACGGAGACGGAAAGACGCGAGAGCCTGGGAGACGGAGACGGAGACGCAGACGGAGACGGAGACGGAGACCGAGACGGAGAACAAGGAGAGACCCAAAGACGGACGGAGAGAGGCCAAACGAGAGACGAGGAGACGAGGATGCTCGAAGAGAGAGCCTGTAGGCTGCTTCTGCATCTCCCTCTCTTTCCTCCCACTTCCGACCCTCCTTTTCTCTCCAATTCAAGCTCTTTCGCCGTCTCTCTTCTTCTCTACCCCCTCCTCTCCCTTTACCTATCCTCCTGTCTCTCTATCTCTCTTCCACTTTTTATTCTATCTCTATCCATTCGTCTCTCTCTCCCTCTCTCTCTATCCCTCTCTCTCTCGCTCTGCAACGCTCTCTTTCTCTCTCGCTCGGTTTCTCGAAGGACTGCCTGAAAACGCCTCTTCGCGGACCAACAGGTATTTCGCATCGATGCTCCGATTGTTTTGCACCTTGCTCTCCATCCCCCACTACGTCTTGAAATTTTCTTCGTCGCCGGTCGAGTCGGATCTCGAGATCTACACCGAACCGGCTCGGAACGATCGTCCGTATACGCGATCGGTAAACTTTGTCAGGCGTTGTTGCCTCGCTGAATCAGCGGAAGGAAGAAAGCTCGGAACGGATACAGAAAGAAGGCATGAAGGAACGAAGGAAGAAAGGAAGGAAGGAAGCAATGAAGGAAGGAAGGAAGGAAGGAAGGAAGGAAGGAAGGAAGGAAGGAAGGAAGGAAGGAAGGAAGGAAGGNTCTCTCTCTATCTCTCTCACTCGCTCTCTCTCTCTCTTTCTCACACTCCCTCTCTCTCTCTCTCTCTCCTTCTCTCTATCTTTGTATATCTCTCTCTCGCTCTCTCGTTCCGTTTCCCCCTCGCGCGCGCACCACCGCAGCTATCGTTTCGTTCGTGCAAACAGTCGAATAGCAAACTCCCCGTGGTCGCGTTTCGCGTTCATGGCACCGACTACGAGCCTAGATTGTCGCGTACGTTCGGAGAAGATGCACCGAAGCCGAGAGCGATCGGCGGACGTGGTGTCGAAGGTTAACCGAAGGGGTTGAACGGACGGCCGGAAGTCGACGGACCGATCGGGAGGAAGGGGCGTCGGGCAGACGAGAAGACGGCGAGAGGAACCGAAGAACGGGAAGACGACCGACGAAGTCGACGAAGAAGCGTGGAAAGCTGGGGGAAAAGAGTGGCCGAGGGTGAAACGAGATCGAAGGGAGGGAGAGCCGAGACGGGCCTGGACGGGCCGGGACGAACCGATGATCGCGAGGCTCGATCGCGGGATCGCGGGATCGCGAGATTGAGAAAGAGAGCACGAGAGGGCCGCGCGCGCTATCACTTCCCGTGTCCCCGTGGTTTCCGCGTTCGTTATTCCGACACGCTACTGCGAGCCGAGGAAGAGATGGACAGAATCTGATGATTCCACCTCCGTTCAAGCCCGACGAGGAGCTGTCAGGGAGATCGGTCTGTCTATGATGAACTCGGTGCGCAGTGCGCGGCTACGGGGGCCCTCCTCGCCCTCCCATAGGGAGAGAAAGGAGAGATAGGGAGCGGTAGGCACGAAGAAACCAACTACCCCCCCACCATAACCACCACCATCCGGACACGACCACCACTACCGTCGGCCACCACCCTGAGATTCAAACCGAGGGACGAGGATGGACGATCGCAAGTGAAACCACGGACGGAGACGGAAAGACGCGAGAGCCTGGGAGACGGAGACGGAGACGCAGACGGAGACGGAGACGGAGACCGAGACGGAGAACAAGGAGAGACCCAAAGACGGACGGAGAGAGGCCAAACGAGAGACGAGGAGACGAGGATGCTCGAAGAGAGAGCCTGTAGGCTGCTTCTGCATCTCCCTCTCTTTCCTCCCACTTCCGACCCTCCTTTTCTCTCCAATTCAAGCTCTTTCGCCGTCTCTCTTCTTCTCTACCCCCTCCTCTCCCTTTACCTATCCTCCTGTCTCTCTATCTCTCTTCCACTTTTTATTCTATCTCTATCCATTCGTCTCTCTCTCCCTCTCTCTCTATCCCTCTCTCTCTCGCTCTGCAACGCTCTCTTTCTCTCTCGCTCGGTTTCTCGAAGGACTGCCTGAAAACGCCTCTTCGCGGACCAACAGGTATTTCGCATCGATGCTCCGATTGTTTTGCACCTTGCTCTCCATCCCCCACTACGTCTTGAAATTTTCTTCGTCGCCGGTCGAGTCGGATCTCGAGATCTACACCGAACCGGCTCGGAACGATCGTCCGTATACGCGATCGGTAAACTTTGTCAGGCGTTGTTGCCTCGCTGAATCAGCGGAAGGAAGAAAGCTCGGAACGGATACAGAAAGAAGGCATGAAGGAACGAAGGAAGAAAGGAAGGAAGGAAGCAATGAAGGAAGGAAGGAAGGAAGGAAGGAAGGAAGGAAGGAAGGAAGGAAGGAAGGAAGGAAGGAAGGAAGGCTGCTCGTGATCACGTGGCAGGAAAAGTAGGAGGAGCAAACTTCCCCTACCCGGTATCCCCCGGAGGATGCTCAATCGGCATAATTGAGGTTTATCTCGTTCCCTAACTCTGCTTTCCGCCCACTCGACCCCACCGCGTCTCCCGTTCTTTGCTCGTTTCCGTCGAATTCTGCACACGCGCGCAGATTCCGTCGGATCGAGCAAGAGTTCCGGCGTTCCTTAGTCGTTGGACGCATCGCGAACGAGCATCCTTGGTCGCGAGAGCTGCTCTCGCCGCCCTTGGATCTGCGCACAGCGGGTCTCTCTCACCCCTCCGCCGTCCAGGATTTCGTCCCTTTTCTCCGCTATCGTTCCTTCGGTTCGGCCGGATCAGTGGAAGCGCGGGTCCCGGTGACGTGGTCGCTGAGCTGGCAATTAGTCGCAACAACCCCGTTCGCATAACTCGGCCTCTAGTCACCCCAACGTGGCACGTGGTCGAAGATCAAACGCCGTCCTGATACAAAGCGGACGAGCGAGCAAGCGGGCAAAGTCGGGGCTCTCTCCGCATCGGAGATGCGGCTTCGCTGATCATCGCCGAGCGTCGCGCCGGATCGAAACGACGCGCGACGACGGGAGAGCGCGCGGGGTGCTCTCGTTTAATGCGGGTCGGCTTGCAATTTAACCGACGTCTAATTAAAGTTGGTGCACCGATCAACGGAAACGCGTCGCTCGGCGATGCGACCGATACGGCGAGACGAGGGAGAAACTGTATATATCGAAGCCGCTACCGCGTCCGTCCGAGTCGACGGATCGGCGAATCGGCGAAACTCGTTCCCGATGAACGCGCGCGCGCGAGCCACGATTATTAGCCGCGGCTAATTAGATTCCTCGAGCAAACAAACGAGCTCGCGCGGCCGAACTCTCGCCCGCGTCCCCCACCCGCCTGGGAAGGGGAGGCTCGGCGAACGAATTTCGTAGTCGAGGCGATACCGTTTGGAAATGTATCCGTCGAGGCACGCGGGCCGGTGTGCGCTCGCGGGCTCTTTTTGTTGGTGCGCGCGACAGAAAACCACCCGACTACGTTCCTTCCATTCGTTTGGTAGCGGAGGCTCATTGCCCGGGCCAGGTACCTCGCCGCGATAAGATCGTCCGTGCTTCCAGAGGAGTCCCTCCCGATTCTCCGTCTCTCCGATACCCTCACCGATCCGTTCTCTCCTCCTTCGCCCGCCGAATCTAACTCTCCCTCCCGATTTCACCGTGTACCCTCCGTCATCCTATCTGGGTGCATTACTTATCGGGCTATCGAGTGTCCCGACCATGATCTTGGCACGCGAGCGTCGATACCATCGACACACTCGATCATCCTA